AAAAATAACAACACTTTGTCAGGACCATGAGGCGATCATTCCTACCAACTTTCAGTTCAATCGGTCCAGCAGAACTTGACTTTAAGTTTGAAATAGGTTTTCAAAATGGCGGCCGTGGCGGCCATATTGGATTTCTGATCGACCCGAAAAATAACAACACTTTGTCAGGACCATGAGGCGATCATTCCTACCAACTTTCAGTTCAATCGGTCCAGCAGAACTTGACTTTAAGTTTGAAATAGGTTTTCAAAATGGCGGCCGTGGCGGCCATATTGGATTTCTGATCGACCCGAAAAATAACAACACTTTGTCAGGACCATGAGGCGATCATTCCTACCAACTTTCAGTTCAATCGGTCCAGCAGAACTTGACTTTAAGTTTGAAATAGGTTTTCAAAATGGCGGCCGTGGCGGCCATATTGGATTTCTGATCGACCCGAAAAATAACAACACTTTGTCAGGACCATGAGGCGATCATTCCTACCAACTTTCAGTTCAATCGGCCCAGCAGAACTTGACTTTAAGTTTGAAATGTAAAATGTTAACGGACGACGGACGACGGACGACGACGGACGAAAACGGATAGCAATAGGTCACTTGAGCTAAAGCTCAGGTGACCTAAAAAAGTGAGTTTTCAATAAAATAATTATGTAAGTGTTTGAAAATTACCCTCTCAAACACTTTTCCAACTGTAGATAATAATGAAATTGGCCTGTAGTTAGAGGGAGAATGCCTGTCACCTTTTTTAAACAGTGGCATAACTTTGGCTGTTTCCAAGAGATTGGGTAAACACCAGACGATAATGACTTATTAAAAATGATTTCAAGGGGAACACAAACTGTTTCTGATGTGTTTCTTAGCATATGGTGACTGATTCCATCCTCACCCGAGGCCTTACCAAGCTTCAATATCTGTAAAATATCACGTATTTCATTATTATTTACTCTAATGTACCAAAGACTCTTGTCAGTTTTTGGCTCGATGAGAGGAACCGCAGTATTTCTGTCGTCTACAAGAGTTATATTACAAAAATAGTCATTTAATAAATTAGCTTTGTCTTCATCACTAGTAACCACATTGTCAGAAACAGGATTGACAAGAGTAGGTATAGATTGTGTAGTACCAGACGATTGCATTAACCTTTTGATGAGTCTCCAATAAGCTTTTGGATCAGAGAACGAGTACTCTTCAATAATACCATGAACATTTTCATAAAATAATTTACGGGCATATTTTTTGAATTTGTTGATGTCCGAAAGATGTTTGGTTGACCTCGCAAATTTTTGTAACTTATCTCTAATTTTTATTGTTTTTCTTAATTCAGAGGTCATCAAAGGTTTATCATTAGGTCTCATAGTTACATCTTTTGATGGAATACATATATTTGCAAATTTTAGGAACGTATCTGTAAAACGATTACAGGCAGTATTAACTGAATCACAATTTAAAAAAAGTTCTAAGTTCTAAGTTCTTGCTATCGAAGGACAAACCATCATCAATACATAATAATGTAAAATTTCAGGACCAAACATCTTACCTCCCTCCTATTTAATGGTACTGTATTCATTCACCTTCACGCGAACAAAACAAATTCAGATTACATTATAGTCGTTACAGGGAAATATATATTGCTGTTAGAAGGCGGTACGACTACAGTGATACAGATAAAGGTAAATCAAGAAAATGACCGTAAAGGTAAGTATGTGTGTCAAGATATACGTTCTGTAGTAGGCCTATTTTGGTTTTATTATTGATCTTACCTCAATCTTACGTCACCAATAGCATTTCAGATTTTCGCTTTCCGATACTGAGCTTCCCATTTCTTTATAGAATTATCCCTAAATGTTCCCACTTGTTTAAAGGGTATTTATATATGGCAGTTGATGCGATATTCTAGGGGTTGGTCTGAACATTACCATTTCTATGATGGTATATGTCGCGCAACAAATACAAACGGACAGATGCAGGCTGGTAAAGAATGTAGGCAAATTTCTTGGAAGATATCATCTTTTTGGCAAATTATCATTTCCTGTGTGAATGACGACTTTTTATTTCGCTCATTAGTGAACGTTGTGTTTTCGTCGACAGTCCCCGATTCTTAATTTGAGGAACTGACATTACTTGAACTTGCCCTAGATATTCTACACAAATCCTACCAATATCAATATCAGCACTGTTTTGTGACAATATTTTATCGTTGCTGAGATTGACTTCGCAAGATTAAAACGACCTAGGCCGTTCAACGTACATTCTGGAAATTGTAATATTTGTTTACATACTTTAAATAAAAAATCTCTATCCTGAAGTATCGGCGAACCGTTCTATTTACAATGACAAAGCTAGTTTTAAGACTAACTTTATTGTTTAAAAGTGCATTAATACATTTTTCATTGGCATATTGATATGCTGATAGACTTGGTCTCAAAATCACCTTAATATTCTTACCGAATAACAGTAGCGTTATATTTCTCAGTTCAAATGTTCGTTTTAGCAAAATTTTATCTTGACCGATAAATTACCTCTACAAAATAAGAGTAAATCTACACTTTGAAATATTAGTCGTCAACATAACCTAATTAGATAGGTGTTAACCACAATAAAGGAAAGGCTTTGCGTGTTGTAGAGCTTTGGTAACCGTACTTGTGAGAATTACGTCGTGGGCACCTAGTTTCGCCTCCAGGTTTTTTTTGTGCGAGTTAGTGATATCTTTTCTTCTGTTTTGTGTCTCCTCGCTTTCTGTCGATGACTATTAATATCGATACTGAATTTCGTTTTTATAATTTCTCTTGCTTACATGGTATATGTTTATATCTATTTTGCTTTTAAACAACACAACAATACGAAAGTCAGATTTGATATATTTTAATACTTACGACATCCCAAATATTAGGAAAGACATCAGATTGAAAACAAACATAATAATTTACGGTATCACAGATAAGAGTTTATCACAGACATGGGATGTCACATCGTGCAGTATATTTAACACTAGGCCATCACCCCACTGACCATTCTCTACAACTTCATGTTTTAGTCGATCCCGACATTCAATCTACAATGAATGCCTGTGTAAAAGAGACTGAATTATTTTGATAGTATTTCTGCTAAAGTTGTCATCGTATAAGCGCACATGTACTACTTATATAATGCTATCAGTTTTATCACAGGATACATACAGTTCATCAGTATTGAAGGTAAACATTCCTTACGAAAGGTAAAAATAAAATGCATACAATGTCATTAAAAGAAATATATACATTGCATAATTAGGAGACACTAAAAGTATTCTAAGCATTGTACATGAAAAGTATCTTTTACTTCCTGGTGTATTCAACGTTAGATATATTACAATGTGTTTTATAACGTAAAGAAAGACAGTCTGGAGCAATGATAACCTGTACTTCACACGAATACATGGAACGTAGGTGTTCTAATACATGCAACGATAATCATACTGGTAAATAATTTCTACAACAAATCATTATTGTGTCTATTACATATTTCAGGAAATTTGATGAATATTCTGTATTTATTCAGATCACGATAAACATTTGGCATTGATATTATTTCCAGTTACATGTACATTTAAAGGGTCAACAGAACAGATACCATAGAGAGGCGACGCCGTTATGTAGGAAGAAAGTCATTGCTGATGAGCTTCAGTAACAGTTCAAAGTTTTAAAGCCAAATAAGGAAGTGTTCTACTCTTGGGTACCATGCATCCAAAAAGACCATATATAATACATTTTACAAGCAAGGCTATCGTTCATAATTTCAAATGCTGAGCTTCCCAATGCTGATAAATAAATTCAAATATGAAAACAATTGAAAAATATTCATAACACCCAGTAATTGAATAAACATCCAGATACTTGTGTAACATCATAGCGATAGGAAAGGCTAGTTACACGTATGGAGCGCAACTAAAGATTACTCTTTGTCTTTTAAAAATAGTTATAAAACGTCGTTTAATATAAAAAAAATATATTGCATTTTTCCAAAATAGAAGTTAAACAATTCGTGACAAGCATTTGAGGACATATTTCCCAGAATATGCCAGGAAAAGAAAAGGGCAGGTATTCACTTTATAAATGGTGTTTAACATGTTAAATAACAACTCGCACGATAGAAATATTAGACAAAGAAACTGACAGTACACGTGTAGCAAATAAGTATTAGCATAATCTCTTAGGTCTGTACTTGTCATTTATTTAATAAATTGAATATGTGAAATTAATGATGTTAGGTATTAAGGCACAGCACATCAAGGTGAGGTACAGCACCTCTCAGATGTACTGTTAGCTGTTTACTAGTGACTCACAACCAGAAGGTGGTGCTACCACCTGTCATTTTAATGGTTTCATTATTCTTCTATCCTCTTACATGCCTTTGATTGTTAGGGGCATTTTTCATTGTTGCCATTCACTGTCCTTGGTTTTCTGATTTTTCTTCCTGTTCTGTATTCTTTGTTGATTGTTCTGTCTCATTTATCTCACCCTCCGATTGCCCCTGTCCCTTCTCAATCTTCGAGTCTTCTGTACTTGCCCCTTCTAGGACATGCCGTGACTCATAAGGCTGCTCAGGTTTCGATTCATCTGTACTTGCCTCCTCAAGGGCCTGCCTTGTCTCCTTCTGTCCCTCACTTTGTGTCCTAATTTGCCAATCCTGTACTTCACCGTCACCTCTTCGGGCTGTCTGTAGCTTTTGTAACTCCTCTCTAAGCTCTTCTTTGAATCCCTCGTGATCTCCCCCATTCTCTGTTATACCCTCCTTCTCCTGTGCTTCCGATCGCTCTGAGATCTTACCATTATCCTCACTGTTCTGGTCCGCATTGACGAAGGCCTTCAAATCGATGTTCAGGCCCTTGTCAGGGACAGTGGAGGATGGCGATACATTTCCTGCCTGGGATATTGATACTCCCGCAGACATCATGTCCGACATGGAATCCTGGCCATCCATAGACGGGTCAACCAAAGAGCTCATTACAGAAAGAGGAACCTCTCTTGTATTAATAGTCTGTGTCAGAGACTCGATGTCTTCCTGTGATTCTTCGACAGTTGTTTCAAGTCCCTGAGTACGGCCTCCCTGTTTCACCCCATCATCCCCGTTTACAGTATGTTCTACAGACACAGCTGGGATGTCAATACTTACAAACGTATCAACAGTCCGGTTATTCTTGTTCCGTGGTTTTCCAGCAGTTCCAAGTGGCGGCACAGACACCACAATCGTCTTTATTTGTCCCTGATTAAGAGTAACTTCTCCTTCCTCATCACCTTCCATTAATGGTGTCATGGTGAGCGACTCTCTGGACATAATGTCACGCCTGCGTCCCCCAGACTTGGGAATGTCATGGGCATTCCTGCTCTTGTCCTTCGCCTCTGGGGAGGGAGGAGGAGGACCAGGGGATTCTGCTTCTTTCTTCATCTCGTCCGGTTTCAAGTTAGTTGCACTTGAATTTCTGCTAATATCTTCAGACTTTAGTCCATTATACATGGAGGATCGGTCAGACATTGGATCCATTACAGCCATCCTAGAATCGTTGACCACCCCATTTTTAGCATGTTCACTGTGCAATGCCAACTTAGTTGAGGATGGTGTAACATCAAAGTCAGCCTCATTGACTGCTGGCCAGGGCTCAGGCGTGGATCCCATGGTCGACTCCCGCTTCCTGTCCACTGGAACTTGAAGGTCGAATGAGGTGTGGGTATGCTCTCGAGTATTTACAGTGTTTTGATTGGTCAGAACTGTGACATGACCTGCCGCATCTTTGACCACCGGAGTTGCCAGTGGTGTTGTCATATCTGACCGATCATCGTCCTCTTGCGGTGAAGAAGGTGGTGGTGGGACTTCAGGAACCTCATTTGTTGAAAAGAGGATACTGCGACTACGTGAAAAACCTGCCCCAATCTCAGTTGTCTCCTCTTGTTTCCTCTCCTCAATTGTATCTAGGCCTAAACCTGAAAAATATACCAAACATAAAGTTATCAACAACTGTCCATTTTGAGACTTTTTCACAAACTGTTTCAACAGAAAGATATGGCCCTTGGTCACCAGATGGTTTGACATTAAGAACGCTCTCAACTCTCAAAATCATTTTCATTTTAATGGCTATGTTCCTTATATATTAACAGCAATAGTAATGTATATGTGAATCATTTCTCAGAAATCACCTTATAAAGACAAAATTTTAAATGCTTATCCTTATCCAAGTGAACATCTTTATATGTATATTGACGGATGATTCCTAAAGAAACATCTGATGTTTAAATTTACAACTAAAAACCAACAACATAATAGTAATAACCATGAGAACAATAACAAAATAAATTAAAAAAAAAAATACAGTTGAGTCTCATTAATCCTGCTATCTCGTTTCCGCCCCAAAAAAGTCACCTGATGTGGGCAAATAATCGGCTGTACCACACCGGCGCATTTTAATATATAAAGGGGAATCTGTCCCAAAATCTCTGGCTTGTTCGCAGGAAAACTGGACCAGTGGTATCTTGATAATAGCGTCTTGATTGTCTATATTGCGAATTTCTCTTCCCAGAACATTGTTGCATCCCTAAGGCAAGAATTGATCTCATAAACATATAAAACCTTACATAACCAATTCTGTATGTAGCCAACTCACGTGTCCCGGATAATTTCCAATAACTGTATATAATTCACTCGGGCCCTGCTCCTCTGCTATCATTTCTTTCTTATATAGAAAGTAATAATTCCCCTGGCACAGGAATGCTTCACACAAAATCTAGTCAAAAATCCTATCATCCTTCTAGAACACCAGTTTTTAAAAGACAAAAAAGTTGCTGGTGATTTCATTTGCGTTTGAACATTTGAAATTTATAAACTTGCAGGTTTGATTTATACCAAACGCCCTAATCCATCCCTGTATCATACTAACACATTACAAAACATGATACCACCATACACAACATGTTACCACCATACACACAACATCATTCCACCATACACAACATGACACCACCATACACAACATGATACCACCATACACAACATGATACAACCATACACAACATTTTACCACCATACACACAACATGATACCACCATACACACAACATGATACCACCATACACAACAGGATGCCACCTTACACAACAGGATACCACCATACACAAAATATGATACCACCATACACAAAACATGATACCACCATACACCCAACATGAAACCACCATCCACACAACATGATACCCCCACACACACAATATGATACCCCCATACACAAGATGATATCACCATACACACAACATGAAACCTCCATACACACAACATGATACCTCCATACACACAACATGACACCCCCATACACACAACATGATCACACCATACACACAACATTATACCACCTTACACAACATGATACCACCATACACAACATGATACCACCATACACAACATGATACCACCTTACACAACAGGATACCACTATACACAACATGATACCACCATACACAACATGACACTTACAGACATACCACATGCGGTCTTCATTTATTCTCAATGCAATGTGCATCATACATCCTCTCTATTGATATATAAGTGAAATTCCACTCCTTATTCCTCTGTTCTCAGAACCATAGACTACCCCTATATATATCTTACTTACATAAATGTGATTTATTACAATGGGTGTTTTCTAATCTACTTACCAAAGGAATCTCTCAAAAGACACTCACAGTTACACTATTGATCCTGTGACCTGAGATTCCTTATACTACATGTACATAGGAATGTACTAAATAACGTTTTCTGTATCATAACATATGAAGACCACTTGTCTGTACTACCATAACAAGAATACTTTGGATAGTGTTTTCTATGTTAAAATAACTTCTTTATAAAGACAACCTCTCTATTAGGATTATTTTTTGGCTTTCTTTCCTGCAAGGCAATTACAGATAGGCTTCACTGTATCATATCATGAAAAGTATCTAAACTGAACACTGGGTTACAAAATTTCAGTTCAAAATGAACAAATTTTCAGATTCGATTCATACTGAAGTATCAGTTGCAGGATATAGTTTACTGCCGGTCAAATACAGGTTTACTGATTACATGGAGTTCAGTTTAGACAGGTTTACTGATTACATGGAGTTCAGTTTAGACAGGTTTCATGAGTAATGATGTCGACAACACATAAAATAAACTCAAACTGAAACTCTTTATTTTTCATCAACAGTGACCTTTACCTTTGTCAAGTTTGACCTGATAACCTTCGAATATATGAGCTTATGGCACTGCAGGAAGCTGAAGTGGAAATACACAACAGTCATACAGACTTTGGCATTAAAGAGAGCATAAAGTCGGATTTCTAAATGTTGTCGAATGGGTTGCGAAAAAAGAAGGTTCTTCTTTCAAGCAAGACAGTTTGAAATTTCTGTGTAAAATGTTAAAAGGTGTATATAAAAGTGATTGAGATACTTTAGGTTACCTTTGTGTGTTGTCAGACAGCATGCCCATGTTGGTACTCGACATTGACATTACCACCTGATCCCCCAGTCACATGTTTAAACACCCACTATACATAGGTTCCCTTTGTATGGTGTCAGACAGCCCATGTTGGTACTTAACATTGACATTACCACCTGATCCTGCAGTCACATGTTTAAACACCCACTATACATAGGTTCCCTTTGTATGGTGTCAAACAGCCCATATTGGTTTCAATCATGAAGCAAAATAATCTACTTTTAAAATTGACAATTTTATCAGAGTAAATTGCCTATAAAATTGAAAATTTCTAGGATTAAGTCGAAGATGCTTTTATTTTCAAAATATTTTATTGCAGTTCATTCAGTCTGTCTCACAACTAGTGGAATTTGTCAATCCATGAGGCTGTAGCAAGATTCAAACTTAAAAATAATTTTGAGAAAAACTTTGTTGTTAAAATAAAAATACATATATAATAAATAGGACACTGATATATCTTGCATTTTACAGAATTGAGAAGTAAAATTGCTGATTAACTTTGTATATTCCTATCTATATCAAAAGACAGTGAAGAGAGTAATATAAAACTCCTTGACATTATCACTTGACCTTTACACAATCATCCCACAATCTCCCCTGATTAAGTCCTCTTATGGGATTGGAAAAATTACAACGAACATTTTCAGCAAGATTGTTTCACTTTTAATTATCAAAATGGAAAGGAATTAAGATGCCTATCAGAATGTAAGGAGCCTGATCTCGCCAACGATTTATAATACATATATATAATCCTGAGTATTATCTTATAAGGAAAATAGTATATTGGGTACAGTGTTGTAAGGAACAACAAAACACATGGTTATCATATTTATGTCTAAGTAAAGCTTGCATCATTAAAATAAAACTACACCAGGTTTATTTTTTATTTGAGCTACATGCTACCTTTAAATGGATAAATTTGTAAACATAACCTTTTACTTGGCACTGATAGCCAATGTGCTGCCTGAAACTAATAGTTTTCAGTGTACAACCCTTACGCTCAATATATACACTCATATTCACTCAGTTTGTACAACCCTTACACTCAGTATATACACTCATATTCACTCAGATTGTATAACCCTTATGCTCAGTATATACACGTACACGCATATTCACTCAGTTTGTACACCCCTTACACACAGTATATACATTCATATTCACTCAGTTTGTTCAACCCTTACACTCAGTATACACACTCATATTCACTCAGTTTATACAACCCTTACACTCAGTATAGACACTCATATTCACTCAGATTGGACAACCCTTACACTCAGGATATACACTCATATTCACTGAGTTTGTACAACCCTTACACTCAGTATATACACTCATATTCACTCAGATTGTACAACCCTTACACTCAGTATATTCACACATATACACTCAGATTGTACAACCCGTACACTCAGTATATACTCATATTCACTCAGATTGTACAACCCTTATGCTCAGTATATACACGTACACTCATATTCACTCAGATTGCTAAAACTCTCTGAATACAGTTATAGCTTTGTTTATCCAAGTCTCATATGTCCTTTTTTTCTCCAAAGAACATTTTCATAATCATTTCTATAATTATATGACAAAGAAGGTTTTATTTATAATGGGTCTGTATCATTTGATATTTACTCAGAGATGGGTGCATCATTCCTTTTTCTAATTTACAAACACATTGTGTAATATGTTACAGACCCCTGTGATGATTTCAGTGTAGTGGTACTTCACCTAATGTTAAATCTCACACAGTGTCTAGCTTTTCCACAGAGCAGCTGATTTAGTATGGAGATAGGACATTTATTAGATTTGTATTCCACCGGAAAAAGTGTGGAGCTGTTTCTCACCGGAGAAAATGACTGCCCCTACATGTTAGAGGTTGGTCACACTGGCCTGACCAGTGACCTCAAGTCTTATCGGGTCAGGTGTTGATGCTAGATCCTATCCCATGGGTAATTTTAGACAGTAATTTAGATGTCCAGTCGAGATTACAAATGACTTAGTAAGGACAAACATCTGAAATAGATTGCCGTGAGTGTCCTATATCTGATCAGGAGACTGTTTTCTCATAGACGCCAATGGTTAGAGAATGTTTTGCATCCAACCTGGCCATTGACCTCCAGAGGTCTACCTCACAGGGTGGACACATAGCTGATAATGTCACCTTTCACCATGAGATCTAGTTAATAGAGTGTAATTATTACATTTCATGCATTTCACAAAGTAAAGTTCAGTCATGCATATGTAATTGTATCATCAATTCACAACATGCATTGTGGTGATTACACAAAATCTTAGATATGTCATGCTTGTAAATCAATACTCATTTCACCCGAAAAATATCTGAACTGATTAGAATTTGTTTTAATATCTCAAAATAATATTTTATAACACAGTAGCATCAAACACACAATGATGGCACGTATACAAGACTATATACGGCATTTGAGGTGATTTAGGCATGCATCCAGTTTGTGTTGTCTAAACTGCATGAAAAAATGGTAACAATGATCAAAATATATTTAATTCTAAATTTTGAACCTTTTTAGGAATGTCTTTTTCATGACTTTTGAATAGCTAAAGTAAATTTTTGATAGTAGTGTAAGTTGTAACATATACTGGCTGATACATGAGTTCTGAACATGACCTCCAGTTTTTATTTGAACGAAATTGAGTTTATCACCTAACATCCATTACACAAACAATTCATCAATAAGTTGAATTTGTCCCATGCTAAATGATTTTGTGCAAAAATTGAAAGATGGAATAGTTGTGGTGCCATGCTATGGTATAAGCACATTTCAATTTTAAGACCGAGAAATGAGAAATTACTTCAATAAAACAAAATATTGAACAAAATCAACCACTACCTATTTGAGAAATAAAAGTGCATTCAATGTATTTATTATGAAGTGACCTGGATGTGAGAAGAATTCTGTACTGATAAAACATTTCTCCAAATGTTTAGTAATTTGCTGGTGTCAGTAAGCTTACTTACCATAAATCCTTCCTGTAGATGTATGTAAGCATGGCCAAATGTAGCAAATAATTATTTTGTGAACACTTTTTTCTTACTAAAATTAAAATGTCTATCTGTATTCATGGAATTAATAAAATGTTTCCCTTAACACTCGGTGAAATTTCCCTTTGCATACTGAAAATAATGCTTTTTCGGCAGTAATCTCATTTTAACAGTTATCAACTGGTTTATTTTAGCTGTCATTTTGTTTTCACAATTTAGCTGGTGACAACGTAATTAAATAACTATGTGATGAAACTCAACAGGTATACTATAATAATGATGATTCAATTCAACAACAAACTACTACAATGACGTAATTCAACAACACACTACTACGATGACATAATTCAACAACACACTACTACAAGGACATAATTCAACAACACATTTAACATATAATTCACTAAAATTTTATTTTTAGTACATTAACTGCCATCACAGACACTGTACTAGACCATCAGATGGACAACTCCATGCAATTATACATCCTAAAAAGGTGGACATTAATGAAACAGTGGTACCAATGTCATGATAGCACTAATGCGATGCTGTTTTTAAGCACTGGAATGTCTTTTTGGTCAGGTAAAAATATATCCAATGTACAGTAATGTCTTTTTTGTTTTAGAAAGGCAAATTATTCCCTTCCTAAGAATGTTATAAATATTGACATTTTCAATTTTTCGGTGAAAATTGTAAAAAGTCAGATTTCATGTCCATTTGTACCAACGGATCTTGTTATCAAAACATGTGTTTTCATGGAAATTATGCTAAATTCAATTACATTAAATCTGTGTCAATATTTTTTGAAAAATTACAAATGGGAAATTTAGGCTAAAAAGCAATAAAAGGAATTAATTCTGATTTGAAAAACTGTAGCTGTGAGTGCTCATGTTACTGTTCTATAATATTGAAATTCTACACACGGACAAACAAACATGGCCACTGCATTTGATTTAGGGCTAAAATCAATTATCCTAAAGACAGACTGCTAGAACAGTGATGCAGAAAGAAATAAAACTCTGTCAGTAAATCTTCTACATGACATCCACTAAATAATAATCCCCTCAAGTCATAGAAATCTAAGACAGACTGAAAACCTCAATCAGCCTGGCAATGTTAATCACAAATTGGTGTGCCTTTACTATAGGATTTCCATGTATATGAGATTACATCTACATAGTAATGACCACCTTCATCTATTTGAAGAGCATGTCATGTGATAGTGGGTGATAGGCCAAGAGAAGAAAAGATAAAAGATAGTTGAAAGGGAATATCTATAAAGTATATGTTTTTTGTTTAGGGACAGTTTAAAGCAGTCAGAAGAGGTAATGGAGGTTATATCTGGAGGCAGGTTATCCAGTCTACTATGGTACAAGGGAACAAGGATTGTTGTCGTACCTGTGTTCTACATGAGAGTGTTTGATATGAGTTCCGGTGTGCGTGTCTTGTGTGGTGGGATGGAGGTATGAGTTGGTCTTTTCTTATATTGACTTTGTCGTGTATAGTTTTGTGTAGTGTTGTCAGTCGCATGACTCTCTTTCTGTCTTCAAGTGATTGCCAGTCAAGGTGTTGAAGCATGTCACCAATACTGGAGGTGTTTCTAAATTTGTTGGTGACTAATCTGGCTGCTCTACGCTGCACCATTTCTATTTTAATATAAGGGTCCCAAACTGAGCAGGCATATTCTAGGGATGGTCTGACAAGTGTTTTATATGCCTGCTCCTTGACAGATGTAGAGTTTATTTTTAGATTTTGTCTGAGAAAGCCTAAGGCTGAGTTGGCTTTCCCACAGATGTTATTTATGTGACATTCCCACTTAAGATTTGACTGTATAGTGACACCTAAATATTTTGCTTTCTCTACGTGTTGTAATTCCTTTCCGTGCAGCATGTATTTGTGATGTAGTGGGTGTTTGTTGTTGGTGATGGAAAGGACGTTATATTGTCAAGATTGAAGGACATTTCCCATGCTATCTCCCATAGAGCTAGTTTGTCTATATCTTGTAGTAATAGCTGGGCATCAGATGGTCATTTGATAGTAAGATAGACAATGGTGTCATCTGCAAATAGACGTACAGTGGAGTGAAGGCCAACAGGAATGTCGTTTATATAGAAAAGAAAGAGGAATGGACCAATAACCGAGCCTTGAGGGACACCTGACTTGACATCAACAATGCTAGATTTTCCCCCTTCAACGATGACAGTCTGCTTCCTATTATCCAGGAAGTTTTTTATTTAGGTGTTAACCTTCTCATTTACACCGTAATGACGAAGCTTATAACAAAGAAGCGAATGACTAACCTTGTCAAAAGCTTTGGAAAAGTCCATAATCAAGACGTCGGTTTGTTTTCCCTTGTCAATGTTGGAGCTGACAACAAATTCAATGAGCTGATTTCTCACATGATACTGACCTTCGAAAACCGTGTTGGAGTGGGTAAAGGATGTTATGTTTGTCAGCGTGGTTCATGATGCTACTGACCACTATGTGTTCTAGACGTTTGCTACAAGTACATGTGAGAGAGATTGGCCTGTAATTTTCTGGATTTAATTTAGAGCCCTTTTTATAGACAAGAGAGACATGCGCTAACTTCCAATCAGAGGGAACTGTGCCAGAATGAAGAGATTCGTTAAAGATGATAGAGTATAAGGGGCAATTTCAGAAGATAATTCTTTCAAGATCTTGGGCTTCAACTTGTCAGGTCCAGCTGCTTTACTAGGGTTTAAATTTTGCAGTAGTTTTTGTACGCCATTTGGAGTGATATCAAATTCTGGCATAATGGGGTACTGGGTGGAAGATGGGATATTACATCTTTTAAGGAATTCATCAGAGGATAATTTACCACCTGGGCTAAAAACAGACTGGAATTGAGTGTTAAGGGTCTCAGCCTTACCTACAGGGTCAGTTACAAGTTTACCATGTGATTTTAGAGATGATATACCGTTATAGTCGGTCTTCGTATGCTTTATATATGACCAGAATCTTTTGGAGGCACTAAAATTAGTGTCATTTTCTTGTGGGGTAAGAATGCCTTCAACATATTGCCAGTAGGACCTTCTGAGTTTCTTTTGAATGTCGTGCCTTAGAGTCATGTATTTAGTCCTCATGTTCAAATCACCAGACTTTTTAACCTTTTTATGGAGTGGATCCCTTTTCCTGAGAAGGTGTTTAATGACAGGAGTAACCCAAGGTAGACTAGGTTTGGGTTTGATGGTTTTATGAGGTATGTTGTCCTTTATGAGATCACAGAGGGTGGATTTGAAGACTTCCTATGTATGATTTACATCCCTATTTGTGGATTCAACCATGCTTGTGTGGAGGATAGACAGACCATTTCTGATTGTATCCCACTTAGCATGTTTGTAGATAGGAATGTTTCGTGGAATAGTTTTAGCTTTTTGTAGACTTAAATTAAGCTCAACAACGACACAGTCGTGGTCTGTTATACCAGGCATGACCTCAAATCTAATAACCTGGTTTGGTATGTTTGTAATTACCAGGTCAAGGGTGTTATCTTTCCTTGTAGCTTGTTCTACGATCTGTGTAAGACCCATATCGTCCAATAAGTTACCAAAATCAAAGTGTAATTTGGGATGATTTGTTTTGGGTTTTAGGATTTTGTTTTTCTTCCCAGCCTGGATAGTTAAAGTCCCCACCTAGTAAGATTTGGGCATTGTTTATAGATGTGACCTTCTCATCTGATATTTCTCGACCCTTTAGACTATTCTCATCTGATGTTTTGGGATTATAAAAGGAAGCTAGGTATAGTGTTTTCATTCCGAAAATTTGTACTTTAGCCCATACTAATTCAGTTGGGTCCTCTTTACTGGTGAGGTCTGTTACTTCATTGCTGACAAAGTCAGATCTTATTGCGACGAGTACCCCACCCCCTTTCTTATCCACATTTGACATTCGATCTTTCCGAAACACTTTAAAATTATCTGGTATATATTCTGAGTCTTTTATTGATGGATCAAACCATGTTTCTGTTCCAAATATTACATTAGGCTTGGTACTTTCGGTTAGGTTTAGGAAGAGATGTTGCTTGCCACCTTTCAGTATTTTCCCCTTTTGGAACATAATTGCCTCAGTGATATGCAATTAAAGCAAGCATTAATTTTCTTCATGTTTTGTGTACACTGAAATAACTGTTCCACTTGTCATGTTAATTGTGACACAAACGTTCCACATGTCTTAGAGTACAGTGAAACAATTGTTTCACGTGTCTATAGTGTACAGTGAAACAATTGTTCCATGTGTCTTGTATACAATGAAACAATTGTTCCAAATGTCTTGTGTACAATGAAACAATTGTTCCATGTTTCTTATAGACTGAAAAACTATTGTTTCAAATGTCTTGTGTACTGTGAAACAATTGTTCCATGTGTCTTATAGACTGAAAAACTATTGTTTCAAATATCTTGTGTACTGTGAAACAATTATTCCACATGTCTTGTGTACAGTAAAACAATTGTTCCATGTGTCTTGAGTACTGTGAAACAATTATTCCATTTGTTTTGTGTACTGTGAAACAATTATTCCGTGTGTTTTGTGTACAGTGAAACAATTATTCCACATGTCTTGTGTACAGTAAAACAATTATTCCATGTGTCTTGTGTACTGTGAAACAATTATTCCATGTGTTTTGTGTACAGTAAAACAATTATTCCATGTGTTTTGTGTACAGTAAAACAATTGTTCCATGTGTCTTCAGTACTGTGAAACAATTATTCCATGTGTTTTGTGTACAGTAAAACAATTATTCCATGTGTTTTGTGTACAGTAAAACAATTATTCCATGTGTTTTGTGTACAGTAAAACAATTATTCCATGTGTTTTGTGTACAGTAAAACAATTATTCCATGTGTTTTGTGTACAGTAAAACAATTATTCCATGTGTTTTGTGTACAGTAAAACAATTATTCCATGTGTTTTGTGTACAGTAAAACAATTATTCCATGTGTTTTGTGTACAGTAAAACAATTATTCCA